CCAAAACCCCAAAACCCCAAAACCCCAAAACCCCAAAACCCCAAAACCCCAGGCATTAGATAAAGGTAAAGAGAAGGTAAGTGGAAAATTTAAGATAAAACTTGGTTTTATATATTGAGCATGTTATATATCTGCATTTAAAGATTTAAAATGTGAACGATGATGATACAAACACTTAAATTCAGATTATATTTTATACTTCTCATCTTCCCATAATGCGAGTGGATTGAGCTGTTTGACTTTGTTCTCTGTTGGAAAAGAGTTGTTATTGGTTTTATGACCCATAAACCTATCTAAATACTTGTTTGCTCCCTGCTTCTGGCTGAACTTAGTTTTTAGCAGATAGAGGCTGGTGATTCTGATTCTTGCTGGCTGAAGTCTATGATGATAATGCAGTCCCTTAATCGTTTCTACCCTTTGCTATGAGATTATAAATAAAAGTTCAATTCTTACAAAATGTCTTATTGACATGAGTACCTGATGAGAGAGGAGTTCTATAGCTTGAGACAGCTGAGTTATTGTTGAAACTTTCAGAAGGACCAGTATACCTTTCATTCTGTCTTGACATAGTTCTCTTCTAACTCGATGTTATTCCATTTGTTAGCCCATAGGATTATGAACTGACTGGCTTTGTGTTTCTATTTGGACTTTGAACTCTGCTGAGTTAGTTTGGTTTACTCCTATCAATTTTAGGGCCTTCACTCTCTCTATTTTCATTCTTCTCACTTCTAGCTTGTTTAATCATATCTTTTCTCTACTTTGCTAGTTAAGGGTAAATCTTTTCAACTTCATGCAGCAAGCCTTTAAGTCCATGCTCCTCTGAAACTGGGATCATGCAACTTACTACTTCCTATGCAACATTCTTGGTTGAGGTCTTTAATAAGTCTTCTAGTTAACTGCTTGAAAATCTCTATACAACGGTGTTCTTTCTATCAATGACTTCTTTATATAAGTAATCGAACTCGTTTTATGTACCAGTGATCAATTTACCTTCTTTTTTGAGTGTATACTTAATTAATCTTCTACGTCTGTCTAGCATCTCGTTCATTCTACTATCCATTTATTACCATAAAAGACTATCAGATAACGGTTTTTCCTGATCCTTTTAATTCCAGACATGGTGGTCGGCAAATCTTCTAATTGATTCTTCAACCAATTCGAAGTAGTCAGGCTAGTCTAGACTCTGAGCTTCAGCATTCTTGATGACGTAAACGACTCTGGAAACATACTCTATCAAAATATCATCTCCAGTTATAATAATCTTTTCTTGAGGTTTTTAGTCTTTACTATCATGATTCTTGCTGTTTGTAATAGTAGACTTCTGAGTATTGTTAGTTTGGTGACTTCTCTGAGAATAGTTTTCAGCATTATTAACTGATGAATTATTTGACTGTGTTTCATGGAAATTATTAATTTTAGAGCTATGAGTTTTGACTGTTTGGGGTGACTTGGTCTATCTTAAGTAATTGCTCTAGCTATGGGTTGAGTTGTTATTTGCAAGCTAGCTGTTATTACCCATAATGTTATTAGTGCTATGATGCTGTTAAATTGTTTACTGGTCATTAGACTTCTTTCTTAAATGAGAGGATTTTACCACAGAAGAACTCATTGGCCTCAAACTGTTAACTGTGCTCTACTTTGACATTTATTGAGTATTCGACTTTGGAGTATTTCTTCCATTTTACGAGTTGTAAGCACTGTCATGAAGATGTTGATTGCTTTGAGTATTATCTAAAGTCTAAGTACCATTTTTGTTTTAGGAATTAGATGCCGCATTATTCGAGTATACTGTTCTCTTGCTGCCCTTAGGCTCAATGACTTGAGCCTGAGAGTCTTCTTTATAGACTTTGGATGATTAAGACATGATCTAAGGGGGTAATGAATTTCCTAACTTGAAAACTTTATCGCTATATAGAACCTTGTACAACAACTTATTTATTGGTCTAGTTGTTTAGAAGAACTAGTCATACATGCTTGAACTTCTAGAAGGATAAATTCTGACAAAATTTCCTTTCCTAGAAAACTCTGACATTGCCTCGAAAATAATATCTCTACTTCTCAACAGACAAGCCTGGTTTAATGGCTCTGATAAAGACTCTAACTCTGACTCTTATTGTATCAGTCTCTCAATAAGCTAAGCTACTTAAGGAGTGATGAAATTATTCTAACTGTTTAAGAAGATGTCATTTTGATTCTAGTTCATTACATTATTAGCAGTGTTATTCACAGTCTTAGGAGCATTGTTACCCCTATTTTTGATTTTATTAAGTGATTCCTTTCTTCTGTCAAACTTACTGATTCCTATCATGTTAAAAGTGTCAGCTAGTAGATTGGACTTTATTGTTAGATCGAGAGGACTCTCACAAGCCAGAGATGGCGAGAGGTTCACTTCTAGAAGCCATGGCTTAAGTTCTGAATCTAGGATCACATCATATCCAAAGACCTCGAAGCAGTTATTTCGGTGCAAATTGTATTTCTTAAGAGCAGCATTTACATAATGCTCTCCAGATAAAATAGCCTTAATGATGAGATCATAGATTCGAGACCACATCAGACTCATATCAATTCCTACTTGCTCAAGATGAGAGCAAAAAGCGGATAGAGACCATTTAAATCCTACATCATCTTGTTCGTGATTTTGATTGTAGACGAAATTATCGTTCTTTTTATTAATGGAGTAATTAGTCAAGTGCATAAACTTGTTATCTTTATCAATTTTGGAGGAATAAGTCTCAGAGGCAAATCTTGCGAGGCCCTCTTTAAATACATAGATCTTAAGAGGTTCGTAGCTTGTTACGAGTACGTAGATTCTTAGATCAAATTTATGGCCATTAATGAGTAGGGGGTTTGTAATATATCTGGAAACTACAGATACATCATCAATTTACACATCACTCAAACTATCTATCAAATGAATACCTCTTCCTCTACTTAAGTTTGCAGGCTTGACTATCCATATATTTTTCTTAGGTTCCTTTTAAGCTAACAAGTTAAAGTGTTACTAGAACTCTTTATATTCCTAAGGCAAAATATAAGTATCAGGAACGATGTCATAATTTTGTCTTCCATGTTTTTCTTGCATCTTAACCATATTGAAACAGAGCCTATCTTTTCTGGTAACTTCATAACTCTAAGGAAAATGATTGATTCTCTAGTACTCATTAATTCCCTCATAGAGATAAGCTTTGCAAGAAGAAGAGGACCAGAGGATATTCCATTCATGACTCTCAGTGTAGGAGAAACCGTTGGCTTCCAACATTGATCTGACTAATTTGGTGTCACCTCTTAAAATCTTATACAATAATTCTGAGTTCTCAATGTGATGAGACCTTCCAAATGACTGTGTAGGTGGAAGATCGTTAAGAAGTTAACTCATCTTAATAGTGCTAAAGGTCTTAAAGTTTTGCAGTTTGAACTCATCATTAAGGTATCTGCAAATATCTTGATTATCGACAATGTATTAATTAATTTGCTACTGTTTCTTGTTTTAGTAAAAATTGTATGCACTCTTATTTTATCTCAAATCACCAGCAACTGTATTTTAGACTTGCTGAGTAATTGGAATGTCTTGCTCGATTCTAGCTAAAATACTCAATACTCTGAGGAAAGCTGCTGCTTTCATGTTTTCCTCGGTCAGTTAAGCAGGATCAGAGAACTACCTCTTTCTATTGCACAATTAGGATGTTCCAGGTCTGCCAGTGAACTCAGTTGAGATCCCTTTCCAATTTTGCTTGAACATGTACTGCGAGTATTTCAGCTTCTCCAGTGGGTTTAGCTGATTGAAAGGCTTGCTCAGGAATTCGTCCTTGGTTTATCTATTGATTAATGTCAAAATGATAGTACTTACTGCTTGGGCTGAATTTAAGAGGGCTACTGATCTCCTTCCTATTAAATCTAATCGTTATAATTATCTTTGTCAATTTGACCAGAATCCTCTAATAAAACGTCAATAATTTTTGTTAAATTTACCTCTAGTTGGGGACTCTTGTTAATTATCTGTCATGTCATTTTAATATTGATCATCGTCATGCTCCTAATGATCGCCAAAATCTTGTGAATCATCTTCCTGATTTGAGATTTATTACTCCGAGTGGTCTCTTGATTAAATCATATTTCAAATATATATTTATAAATTAATTCCACTTTTTAAACATCCACCAATGTATATACTATTTGCTTCAATTATATTCTCTCACGGGGTTTTGGGGTTTTGGGGTTTTGGGG